AAGAAAATAGAAGAACCAAAAATGGTTATAATTACAGCAAATGGCATTTCGAAATGAAAAGAGAAAAACTATTTTAATGATAATGGCAGCCATTTCTTTACATGGAATCATTCGGTATTTATTGATGGAACAGCCAGCACTATTTTCGGTTGAAATTTAAAACAATTGTATTAAAATATATTTTTGTTTCCTAAATAGATTAAATAGGTGTAGATAGGTTCGCCTATCGGTCGGTTTACAATCTTCTTTGGTCTTTTTGTACAGGAGTAGAGGTTAATCCCTTGTTTTCTGTTTAGGAGTGGGTATTAGGTCTCTTCTAATTCTCTTTTATTCCAGTTATCCTCATGCGTTTTAGTGGCATTATCGCCTTACTTAGGGGGAATTGATTAAAAATGAGAAAGATTTCATGAGGTTTTTTTTAAATTGTTGAATGGTGTTTTGTTGAGATACCAATAAATAAATAAGTGAAACAAAAAAAAAAGCTAAATAATGAGGAAATAAGGCCCGGAGAACTCAACACCCAAAGGACTTACAGAATGTAGGGTAAGTAATGTAAAACAGCGATTAATCTACTTAATTAACTTGTGTCAATGAATGGCAGGAGAGGGAGAATCGTAATATGGCCGTTTCCTTATAAGGAAACACTGGGCATTCATTGGTTGAAGATCCAGTGCAACTTTTAGTTGAAATTTATACAATCTTTCTATTAAAAGATTTTTTTTTACACACATGAAAAGAAGTTTCTCAAGTCCAGTAACTGTTATCGCACTTTCTATTATTAATGGGGCTTTATTTGTTAACATTTTGTTGAAAGTTGTGTGAAATGCGACCATCATGATTATATCATTATTTTGTCTTTCACTTATATGTTCTATCCATTTTAGTTGTTGCTGCTGTCGGTAGTCTTCAAGTGACGTGGCTTCTGTTATTTGGTACATTTCTTTGTTTATGCTCCTGTAGCGCCGGTCCACGAGGTTCAAAGAAAGGTTTTTTGCTAACATCTATAGATTTCATTCACTGGAGGCCGTTCTTATTCATTGATCTTAGAAAGTTTAATTATTTTTAAATGAGTTCGGCGCCATTTTTTTCCATCGTTCACGTTAGAAGCAAGGAAAAAAAAATAAACTGGCTTTGATAATTAAAAAAAATAAGAAAAAATATAAGAATAAAAAAGATGGAATAAAAAATAAAAAATAAGATAAAAATAGAATAAAATAACTAGAATAAAAAATAAAAATATAAAAAATATAAAAATAAAAATAGAGTATAAAATATAGAATAAAAAATTAAAAGAAATATATCAGTTGTGAAAATCAAAACAGCTCTTTGAGTATATTGCTTTATTCTAAACGCTCATAATATACGAAACAAATATAACAATTGTGGTGCTGACTTCTTCATGTTTCAATATGCGAGATTTTATGTCTTTATACTGTAAACGTTTGTGGAAAGTCTGAGCAGAAAATATAACAACATGGTTGCAAAAAAAAAAAAAACGAATGGTAAATAAAGCCATTATCTATTTGACAGGATGCAGGAGGAAGTCATCAGCAGCTTGGAAGGTATGTCAGGGGAATAGATACACCATTAATCATGCCGTCATCAAACGGCTTCAGATAGAAAGATCGTCGACAAAATAAAGCTCTGCCTGTTTCTCACCTACCAATTTCTTTTTTATTGTAAGCCTACAAGCACTCGCCAATATATATATATATATATATATATATATATATATATATATATATATATATATATATATATAAATATAGGAGAGAAGAAGAAAAAAAACATTAGTGCGTCTACTTAAAATGGACGCCTGACTGTAGAATAGGCAAACTATTATCGCTGACTATTACTACTGTCGTAATTTAGATTTTTTCCCCAAGTACGGCTTTCTGACAAAAAACGAAATTAACCAATGCAAATATGTGTGTATGTGTGTGTGTGTGTGTGTGTTCATAAGTTTGGTGTCTCTAAACAGGATTTCGAAGAATTGCCTAAAATTGAATGTTGCTGGCCTTTTTCTAAAACTAATTTAATGACTTTCTCTTCCTACGAAGTTTTATGAGATATTCAGTTATAATGATAACATATTAACCCCTCTACTGCCTGAAGTTTTACCTCTTTTTGCTTCACCTATCTTGCTGGCCAATGGTAAGTTTAGAGATTCCGGATTTAATATTTTAAATGGATAAAAGCAGGACTCCATTCACTAACACGTTGAACAGTTTCATCAAGTTCAAAATGCTAGATATAACTTCCAGGCTAAAGGTTCCTTCTCTTGCGCTTCTAGCTTGTAGGAACTCCTTTCAGATTATTTGCTTTCCACTCATCTTTGAACTTCAAAAATTTCAAGGCGATATAATCGTCATCATCAATCTCCTTCATTCCCCCTCTTTCATTGTCCTTAATATGGCTTCTTCTCAGATTGTTTCATTCTCAGTAACGCCTTTCGGCTTAGTGGCTTTATTACCTTTATGGAGTGGAACGTTTAGAAAATAAACATCCGAGCTTAGTAAGAATTAATTAAACCAAAGAAGGCATGAAGTTCCTTAATCCAGTGTCCTCAAACCTTTCGCTTATATATATATATATATATATATATATATATATATATATGTGTGTGTGTGTGTGTGTGTGTGTATGTATTAGCATGTTAACTGTTTTCGCGGGAAAACAGCATATAAATATATATATATATATATATATATATATATATATATATATATATATATATATATTCATATATTTTTGTTCACTGTTTTCGCGGGAAAACAGCATAGCGTAAATAAAAAATGCCACAAACTTAACTAAAATATAGTTTTATCGTCAAAATGCTTATGTTATTATTAAGATGAAAGACCAAAGTATTTTTTAATTATTTTTTGAAATTTTTTAATCTTTTCTAACACGTTCGAAATTTTGGTTAAATTCTTCTTTTGTTTACGTCATCGCGGCGTCACAAAAAATAACATTTTTTTTGCGATTTTTTCCGTTGAAAACATATTGATTTGGAAATTCTTGTAAAAATCAAGTAATTATCCGATTTTAATGAAATTTTCAGGACTTATTCACAAATGAATGAAATTATTTTTTAAATAATTTTTTTTAGAAAAGTTTGGAAAAAATATAATTTTTTAAAATATGTTATCCCACATTTACTTAATTTAATGAAATTTCGCCCCAAAACTTTTTGATTCCTGAGTTTTTTTTTGTTAAAAGTAGGAGTCTTCGAAGATGGTAAATAACCTACTTTTTTTTTCAAATTTGAGTTATCTAACTGAAAATCTGCGCTGAATTGAAAAATAATGAATCCAATAAAACTATGATATTACTTAATTAGAAAAGCTTTTAATTGCTTTTGTAAATAAGTAATATTAAGGACATTATTTACTGAAGAAATAATTTCTTTCTGATGAATAATTAATTTTTACAAGAATTTTTTCGTTTTTTAAGAAATTTTAATTATAATAATTTATAATAGTTTAAAATCGTGTAAAACTCTGTATTAGGAGGGTTCCTCGAGGTGATGTAGTAATTAAGTGGAAAAAAATTTACGAGTCCAAAATTAAAAAGTTTAATAAATTTAGTTGCGCTACTTTTTTTAAAAATAATTTTTTATGTTGTATTTTTTTACTTAATACATTCCTTATTTCCTTAGTTATAAATATATAGTTTATAGTTCAAAAAATGTATAGTTTATAGTTAAAAGTATATAGTTTATAGTTCAAAATATATAGTTTATAGTTCAAAATATATAGATTATAGTTCAAAATATATAGTTAAAAATATTTATAGTTCAAAATAGTTCAAAATAGTTTATAGTTCAAATATATATTTATAGTTTATAGTTTATAGTTCAAAATATATAGTTTATAGTTCAAAATATATAGTTTATAGTTCAAAATATATAGTTTATAGTTCAGAATATAATATATAAAATATATAGTTTATAGTTCAAAATATATAGTTTATAGTTCAAAATTATAGTTTATAGTTCAGAATATATAGTTTATAGTTAAAAATATATAGTTTATAGTTCAGAATATATAGTTTATAGTTAAAAATCTATAGTTTATAGTTAAAAGTATATAGTTTATAGTTCAAAATATATAGTTTATAGTTAAAAGTATATAGTTTATAGTTCAAAATATATAGTTAATAGTTTCAAAAATGTATTGCTGGTAATTTCACTACAAAATATATTGTTGGTCATTTTGCCACCAAAATATATTTAGTCATCTTGCTATAAAAATGAGTCTGTTGATTTTTGTTTGGGGATTGTTTATTTGCCTATAAATGGGATCCTAACAGGTGCTACTACCCCGGGTCAGGGTGGACTTTGGAACAACAGCAATTACGAGGTGGTTCTACGCTCCTCAAAACCTCCAATCTCCCTATCAGAGACAATCCTCCTGAATGTAGTCTAAGGTCATACCTCGGACGGTGTAAAGATCGACCAAGGGGATAAAATGTATTGCCGCTCGTGATACGGTAGGTAACGTTCTTATGGGAGATCGGGGGGTGCCAATTTATTGTCTTCTGATTTCAACAGTGATTCTTCTTATACTATTAACAGCTTACTTTGCCAAGATAATTGACGATATTCAGTCACCCCACCCACGAGGGTGTCATGTGGCACAAGGCCTTTTTAATGTGAGCATTCCGAGTCAGTTGAAACCGGCCCTGAACCCGTATAAACGGGTTCAGGGCCGGTTTTACCTCCCCGAAAGAGACTCCGCCCTTCGGCGTAGCCTCCTTCGGGTTCCTCCCGTCCGTTGGAAGAGAGTACAACCGAACAGTCGCTCAGAAAGTACTGGGTCGACTGATAATTGGAAGGGGGTAACAGAGTACCGGGAGATGGGGATTCATGCTTTCGTCAGGAGGAGTAGTGTGTTGGCGGCATGGACAACCACAAATGAAATTCGTATTAGCTTTTTCAGTTTCGAATTTCGCGCTGATAACTGTTCCACAGTCAATTGAGGGAAAAACAATACAAAATGTTGTTAAATTTTATTCTGTTCCCTTTCTTTCTTTCTTTCTTTCTTTCTTTCTTTCTAATTCTTTCTTTCTTTCTTTCTTACATTTTTCTGGTAAGGCCATATGCTATGGCCGACAGCAAGGCCCTGGATCATGAAGATTTGAGGAGCGTGGAACCACCTCTTAATTGTTGGTGATCTCAGGTCCACCTTGACCCGGGTTGGTAGCACCTGTCATTGTCCCAGCTATGGACAAATAGTTAATTGGGGTCAATTTTCTCCTGAGCATGACGATAAACTACATCCGGGTTCTGGGCACGACATTAAACTACATCCGGCAGCAAGGCCTCTGATCAGGAGGTTTTGAGGATTGTGGAACTACCGCTTAACTGCTGGTGTTTCCAGGTCTACCCTGACCCGGGTTGGAAGCACCTGTCAGAATCCCAGCTATGGGCAAATAGTCGACCTCCAAAGAGGGGTCAAACGCTGTGGAGGTTTAAAAATAGGTATTAATACCAGAAATACATTTTTGAGGGAAAAAATTATTACTAGAAATACGGGCTCATCTTCTTATTGACGACCATGCACTTCGTCTTCTTGTAGTTTATGCTTAGTCTCTTCTTCTCATTCTCCATCGCTACCTTCTGTAGAAGATTTTAAAATTTCATTTCCGTGTTTGCTATCAGTACTGTGTCATCTGCGTATCTAATGTTAAGATTGTGGCTGCCAATTCTAAATCCCGGTAGGGTTTCCAATTCTCTCAGAATTCCTTCACTGTATAGGTTGAACAGGTCTGGTGAGAAGACGCATCCTTGCCTTACGCCCCTTTCTATTTTGGTATATCCACTGAACTCGTTCCCTGTGTGCACGCATGATGTTTGCTGCCAGTCTACGTTCTTGATAATTCTGATATATTTCCCGAATATATCAAGGTTACTGAAGAGTTTAATCAGATCTTCGTGGCATATTTTGTTGAAGGCCTCTGCGTAGTCTATGAAACATCGGTACCCGTTCTTCTGCATCTCTATTTGTCTTTCTAATAACATTCTGAGCAGGAATATCGCGTTCCTTTTTTCCGGTGTCGTTTACGAACCCGCACTCTTCTTGTCCTATCTCTGGGATGATTCTGCTGCGGGCTCTGTTCATTAGAATACGGATGATGAGTTTTGTTACGTGGCTCATTAGGCTTATTGTTCGGTGGAGTTCATATTCGTTTGCGCATTTTTTCTTAGGCATAGTTGAGATCCTCGGTATATCCCTGAATATATACGTTTTTCAATATATAAATGTATATATAGGTTTTTGAAAAAAAGAAAAAAATTACCAGCAATAAAAATTTTGTCGGCATCAAATAACCCATCGAGGTTGATATCCCGTAAAACAAACCGAACCAAACAATCTTTCTTTTTGTGTGCTGTATTTTATTGTTTCTATTTTGTTTAATAAATAGAAGGTGCGACGCAAAGATTGGGTAATTTGAAAGCAATCCAAAAAATATTTTCTTCAATTAATTAATTGATTAATTAATTAATTCTTTCTTTCGCTTTCTCACTCTCCATGTTTTTCTTTTCTTTTTTTATCAATACTTGCTCCTTTACGAACTGCATTTGACTTTGTAATGCATGTTCCCCCCTCCGTGTTGTGCAAATTTACCGAAACTTGTTTAGAATCTTACTCGCTATATCCTTCAGATTCTCTTCCCATCGTAGGATATCCTAAGTGTTAAATTTTCTAAGCTTTCTTTCCTCAATATGTTCCTTGAAAAGTTCTACGTTCTCTTATTGTTCGAATCTGTTTGTTTATGTGGTTATCTCCATAGAATGTTTTTATTTGTTCTACCTATCGTATGAAAATAGACGATATTTTTCTTTAATTTTCGTCCTTCCCGGTGACTTTGCCCGGGAAAACAATTTGCCAAAATTACGGTACTGACCCATAAGACTTATAGTGTACGCACCTAACTGATTCAGAAACTGTTCCAATTTTTTACCTATAAATTTGAAAAAAGAATCACTTAATTCAATAATATTTTTTCGTTTTTACAAAAATAATCTTGGCGCATATAAATTCATCATAATCATTGTCGTCGTCATTCGCACGATTGGGTGTGATCGTAGAGTGACTTTGCCACTGGACACTAGACAAGTTACTTCCACATCTCTCGGCTGTGTGCCAATATTTGGGATGAAATTTGGAGAGATATTCATTAATGTGTAGTCTGTCTTAAGCAAAGAAGTCTTGACGGAGTCTATAGCGCTCTAGCTGAGAGCAAGTGAAGGCTTGTTCTTAGTCATGGATAGCTGACCGTTGATGGTATTTATCAATCCACCCACGGGGATCGAATGTGGCACAAGGCCTTTTTAATGTGGGTATGTCTGAGCCCGTAGACCCAGCCAAAAATAAATAACCATCCAACCCCGCCGAGGCGGGCCAGTTCCGTCAACCTCCCCCAACGAAACCCTACCCTTCGGTAAGGCTTCGTCCGGGTTCCTCTCTGCAAGCAGAGAGTTCGACAGACACCCGATCCGGCAGCTCACAAAGCGCGGATACTACACTTTGATCCTAGCCACCGGGCCGAGCGGGTATTCTTTTTTCTGACCGTTGATTCTATCAGGGGATACGTCTACCTTCGTCTCTGACATCAGTCTAGGAGAAACTCCGGCCATCGATACTCTTTCACCGCCAAACTGCATGTATTAGTGCATAGTTCAGTGAAAATTTAGCCCGCAACCGGTTGAAATTCGCTGTGGTTAGTGTCTCTTGGTTGAAATCCTAACTGGTGAGTGCCTTGAAGCGATGACATAGGAAGCTGACCGCATTTTATTTTATTATTTCGATTTTTATCATAATTTCAGGAAAAATGCAAAAAATAAAACCTAAACGGTTTTCCTAATTTGTAGCTCGAATTGTTCTTTACTTTCATTTTTTTTTGACTTCATAAATGTGAATGAAATGCTAATCTATACAGATTTTCCAAATTGCAAAAACCAACATCTATTGATCTATAGCTGTCTCGCAACTGGAGAAGCAGAGCTGATTTCACTGTTCCTGCAGGCAAATTGAAAGTGTCCAGCCGAAATCGAAATTCCTGTTGATGTTTTTACTCTTAAGAAGGGCATGAAACAGCCTATTACTCGAAATCAGATAAGATGTTGCACCCTGTGTGTGAATAAAGTAACGATTATCGACTCAGAAAAAGAAATACATAAAATAATTTTTCAGAATTTTTTTTTTTTTTTAATCGGGCATGATATCAAATTACGATATACATTTAATGGGTACACATAGTTGTGTGGATATCCCTGTCTTTGACAACTGCGAAGTTGATATCTACCGGCCCTGACATCGGACGACTTTTTAAAGAAAATGTGCTACTGAACAGGAAATGAAATTTCATTGCTTTTTTTTGTTATCTTATCAGCTTCCTATAGAGGAACAAATAATATTTAATAAATTCTTTCGCTTAATAGAGCGATCTATATTTATTTCACTGTTTTAGATTGATTGATTGATTCTCTTTTACGGTTTATCACACCTTTGCATGTTATTTAAAACCAGAAAATATTATTGTAAGAATTTAAGGGGGATGGTTTAGTAACACAAGTCATACTAATTAACTAATTGCCGGCTGAAGAGGTGGATTGATTCCTAGGTTCGCCAAGGGTATTTTCACGTAAGTGAATATAATAAGCCCGAAGGAAATTGCATCTCGCCTCACCAATTAGAAATTTCGAGGTATTATGTATTACACGACTTGCACATCTAAGATTACAGCACTCGGTATTCCCAAGCGTCTTACCATCTAGGTACTGACCAAGCTCGACGTTGCTTAACTTCGATGATCGTACGGAAACCGGTGTTTCAACATGATATATTTTAGAAAAGTTATTTCCTTAAACACTTGTACGTCCTAAATATAAAGTTTACATGAAGATCTCTCTCAATCTCTCTCTCTCTTTTTCTATCTATCTATCTATCTATCTATCTATCTATCTATCTATCTATCTATCTATATATATATATATATATATATATACGACAGACGGGGTGCTTTTATTTGTTTTTTTTTTTATACAATTTCTCATGCGATCTAATATCTTTTTTCTTTTTGGATGATAAATTATATAAAAACTGTCAGAATGTTCTTTTTATCCGAGCGCTTTCGGCTATACATCTAGCCATTTTCAAGGATTAAATATTTTAACTGTTAAATAAGAAATTCGTAAATAATTATATAGGCCACACTACAACATGTTTGACACGCAGACTCACTCTACACATTTCTGACCATAGCACAATTAGATCTCATTTAAATATTCATGGAGACCTACCGGACACTATTCGTAACATACTTGTTGACAACTCTAATGTAATAGAATCATTAACATGCAAAAAAAGGCTAAAAATAATGGAAGTCTTATTAATAAAAATAAAAAAATAAACACTTAATAATATTAACTTTGAACATGGACACAATATCTTGACCGTGTTTTGAAAAATGAAAAAATTCCATAAAGCATACATACAACAAACTATTTCTTATTTAACAGTTAATCCTTGAAAATAGGGTAAATGTATAGCCGAAAGCGCTCGGATAAAAAGAATATTCTGACAGTTTTTATATAATTTATCATCCGAAAAAAAAATATTAGATCGCATGAGAAATTGTATAAAAAACTAAATAAAAGCGCCTTGTCAGTCTGTCTTTAAATTGTGTGTATTTAGGCAGCATTTTTCATTAATATATATTTCATTAAATAATATAGACAAGTTTTGTCTATTTATTTTAAGCAAAATCCTTTTATACGTCTGTTAAACTTAATAACATTATCATTGAAAGATGAAAGAAATTCACCATGTTGATACATGTTTTATTCTTAATTCTTTCTAAGCTTTCGGCTTACATAAGCCATTATCGGAGATTAAAGTTGGTAATTTTGCAACAATAAGAGTTTGTTTGCATGGAAAATTGCTAGGCAATGTTAAATTTGTGCATATGAAACGCAGGAAGTAAATATCGTATTGCGGTTCATGTCGTCACACTTGACCGCGTGAGAGTGAAGAGGAAGTCAAGTGTTAACTATGGAAAGCCGTTGGTATAAACCAATAGCTTCTTTTATCAACTGTAAGCATTTAAGTATATTAATATTAATTATAGCGTATAGTTGATAACAGAAGCTATTGGTTTATAGCAACGGCTTTCCATACTTAACACTTCTCTTCATCTTCATCTTCACTCTTCCATGCAAACAAACTATCATTGCTGCAAAATTAACATCTTTAATCTCCGATGATGGCTTATGTAAGCCGAAAGCTTAGAAAGGATTAAGAATAAAACATGTATCAACATGGTGATTTTCTTTCGTCTTTCAATGATTATGTTATTTAGCTTATCAGATGTTATGAGAGGAATTTGCTTATGTTATTTAATGAAACATATATATATATATATATATATATTTATATATAAAGACATTTTTATGTTTAACATTCTTTTTACACATACAAATATTAAACAAATAAAAGTAAATGCTCTGTTTATAATAAACAGTATTAAACAACATTTACCGGCCTGAATGTCCGAGAAATTTTCACAGAAAATATTCGTCCTTCGACAGGATTCGAACCTGTATCCTATACACGACGAATCTTGTCGAATTTTCACAGAAAATATTCGTCCTCCGATAGTCCTATACAGGACTATCGGAGCACGAATATGAATAATAAACATAAAAATGTCTTAAAATAATTGTCGGACTTTGTCCATTTCATAATGTGTGACTTCATACATACATATATATATATATATATATATATATATATATATATATATATATATATATATATATATATATATATATATATGATGATCCGCTTAGGTGAAACCTGGGTAGGTTTGTCTGGCTCACTAGGTCTGCTCTACGGTTGTATTGAGCTCATTTGTTAGTTGTTTACTCGTATCGAGGTTTTTTCTTTGGGCTTCAAACCTGCATCTGTGCGATTATTTTCGACAGACTTTCATGTTTCTAGCTCTTTCTTTTTTTAAAACCTTTTTTTCTCTCGAGATTGATTTGATTATTGGCAAATCAAAAATTCGAAGGTTTTTCGAGACGAGTATAGTTACCTATATATATATATATATATAAAATCACTTGAAGCGTTATTTTTAATGGATACTCGTATTTGAGTAAACGTCCCTTTATTTATTAAACAGTATATTTATTTTTATTTATTTATTTTTGTCTGCCGGATGTTCTAGAATCTTAATAACGAAAAATTTGCGCTCTTCGGCAGGATTCGAACATGCTACCATTAGATTCGGGACATTCCAACCAACTAAGCTACAGTCGATCAGGCTAGGCCGAAATCCTTTATGCGAAACTTCTCTCGTCATAGATCTCGCGAAATTTTTCTTGTCTGCACAGTTTTGTATCCAATGTAATATTCCTAAACATAATAATGGACATATATATATATATATATATATATATATATATATATATATATATATATATATATATATATATTAGTAAGAAAGGTATGTATCCTCTTCATCTCCCTCCAGCTATGGGTAAAATAGCAGGACAGACTGGGTTCTATAGCCTTGGATGGCAACTGGTCTAGGAGAAGGACAACTCTGAATTCAAAACCTGCGGAGGGTCGTTTGGGAACCTTGTGGCATGTATTCGGTGCACCAGGTTTCTGTATTCGTCCCTCCCAAAAAGTGTGCCTGGTCCTGCACAAGGCCTTCACCACTATAAAACAAATCTCATGTGCCGGTGTCGGGACGTCGGTTTCCTGGGGACTTATCGGCCTGACCCTCATACGTCGAACGCGACAGGAGAGTCGTTTATATATATATATATATATATATATATATATATATATATATATATATATATAGATAGAGAGAGAGAGAGGGAGGGGAGGGAGGGAGAGAGAAAGACACATTCTGGCCTTCAAGATTTATATTTAATATGTATTTTCATATCTTCATCTGTGTTTTTCTTAATATCTGTCTAGCTCGATAGATATCTCAGGTTGTTCATATTTAACTGTGTGTAACTATCTAAGGCGGTATTTTCATTATCTATCTATCTATCTATCTATCTATCTATCTATCTATCTATCTATCTATCTATCTCAGTTTGTTCATCTCTATCTCAGTCTGTTAATATCTATACCAGTATCTATCTATCTATCTATCTATCTATCTATCTATCTATCTATCTATCATTATATAAGTAATAGAAAATATGTACATATGTAAATACGAACACCTGGCAATATATGTATATATAACTGTGTAAGAGAACCTCACCTATTTTCCCGTCCCTAACATTAGCTTTCCGCGAGAAGTGCGTCTAACCGCTGCCAATTTTACCTGCATATAATGTGCTTTACTTTTTAATACATTTCTTTTCTTCGGTTTTCTTATAAAATATGGTTTTGAATAATTTTTCTATAATTGTTGCTCGTGACATGTCAGATTTTATAAGCAGGCGAATGTTACCGAGGGCAAATAAATAAGTGTGAATATTCGGGCACCTCTGCACTTCCGTAATTCGTTTATCCCCCACACTCCACCCCCCACCAATTAGCAAAAACAATTGCGAAATCTCCACAGTAGGTATACTGTACTTTTTTTTTATCTATCTCAGTCTGTACATACGTATCTCTGTTTGCTACTGTTTCACAAAAAATGCCCATATCTATCTATCTATCTATCTATCTATCTATCTATCTATCTATCTATCTATCTATCTATCTTAGTCTGTTGATGATTATCTAAATAAGCATTAATATTCGGACGCCTCTGCGTTTCCGTAATTCGTTTCTCCTCTTCGCCCGCATCAGAAAAAAAAGCAAAAACAAAATTGCTGAATCTTAACTATAGGGATACTATTTTTTTCTCGCAGAATAAAAAGACGTTTTAGTTTATATATTGCAATTTTTTTTAATATTTGCTTTCTACGCCCCACTAGATAAAAACTAATTTTTTTCTTCTAAAGAATTCGTGAGGAAGCATTCTATTTCGGAAAGGATTGATGATCCATCCCCCCACCACCTAAATATATTGAAATGATCGAATGAAGACAAAAGCAAAAAAAAAAAAAATGAAAAACGAAACAAAAATCTCCCAATTGTAATTTTGATTAATTCAATAAAAACAATAAAATAATAGAGTTCATCGATTTTCCGGTAGCTAAGGGAACGATCACTTTTTTAAATATGGGACAGATTACGTGTGTTATCGAGAAATTTCTAAATACTTATTCTTGAAAATTACTTGGCACATTCTAAGCACACGAAACTCCGAGTTGGAGATGTCAAAATCAAACAAGTACAGAAGTTTAAATATCTGGGAAGAGATTTGACAGATGGCAGAAATTGTGTCACTGAAATGTGAAGCCTCATCATCATCAGGTTGAGTAAGCTCGACATTCCATGACACGTTGTTTCCATTCATTCCTAATGTTGATTACATTCGGAAGCTCATCCAGTCTGCATCCCGTGTCTTTAAACAGATGGCGGAAATTGTGTCACTGAAATGTGAAGCCTCATCATCATCAGGTTGAGTAAGCTCGACATTCCATGACATGTTGTTTCCATTCATTCCTAATGTTGATTACATTCGGAAGCTCATCCAGTCTGCATCCCGTGTCTTTTTAACAGATGGCGGAAATTGTGTCACTGAAATGTGAAGCCTCATCATCATCAGGTTGAGTAAGCTCGACATTCCATGACACGTTGTTTCCATTCATTCCAATTTGATTACATTCCTCATCCAGTGATCCCGTGTCTTTAAACAGATGGCGGAAATTGTGTCACTGAAATGTGAAGCCTCATCATCAGTTGAGTAAGCTGACATTCCATGACACGTTGTGTCTTTTCCTAAACAGATGGCATCCCGTGTCTTTAAACAGATGGCGGAAATTGTGTCACTGAAATGTGAAGCCTCATCATCATCAGGTTGAGTAAGCTCGACATTCCATGACATGTTGTTTCCATTCATTCCTAATGTTGATTGCATTCGGAAGCTCATCCAGTCTGCATCCCGTGTCTTTAAACAGATGGCGGAAATGATGAAATGTACATCTTCATCAGGTTGGTCGACATTCCATGACATGTTGTTTCCATTTTCCGAATGCGATATTCGTCATCCAGTCTGCATCCCGTGTCTTTAATCAAATGATCAATGTACATCTTCTTTGGTCGACTTTGTGTTCCTTTTCCGAGCGATAGTATCCAGAGTAGAACATCTTCAGCTCGTTCTTCTTTGCTACGCCAACGTATTTGCTGATGACAGGTATGTATCTTTTTGTGTGATCTTTCCAGGATTTGTTTAGTGCTAATCGAAGAATTCGTGGTTAAGCATCATCTAACCTCTTTTCTAGTTTGGCTGTTAGTATACAGGTTAATGACCCATATGCAAGGACGGACTCTACTCTTACTTTGAAGAAGTTTCTCTTTAGTTTTTTCCGCGAGATTTGAATATCCAGATCTTGTTCATTTTTCGATGGGTCATTGAAATAGCCAAGTATACCTCCAAAAAACAAGCAGAATTCTAAGAAAGTGGCAACTTTCATTATAAACAAAGATAAGTCTAACGAACTTTTGTGCAATATTATTCCTACATTATAGCAGCTAATCAGAGTCTGTCGATATTTCTGAGATGAGGTATTATGTACATTATTTACATTATTCGGACTATTGTCCTCATCTTTGTCGCCATATTTATCACAACGTTTCGGCCTCAAGGACACATGGCACAGTGGATAAAGGCGTTGGTTAGATCCAGTGTAAGAACCCATAGAGTGTGAGTTCAATACCCGGTTATGGCTGTGGAGAACTTTCAGAGGGAAATTAACAGGAGATAACTGATAACTGACAGCCATCAAACATGGCCCGTGGAACTAGAGCAGTCTACCCCGGTGAGCGAAATAAAGGGTTCAGTTCGACATTCCAACCACCTGAAGAAGGCCGGAGCGTACAACGGCCGAAACGTTGCACATTTTCTTAAGTGGAAGGAAGCAGAAGCTGTAGTCATACTAAACATGGTTCTACAGAAAGATGCCGAGAATACGGTAGCCGGAATGCGTAAGCAATAAAGAATTCTGAGAGAAAACAGAAGCAAAATTTACATATTTAGAATCACAAAAAAAAAACAACAGAAATTTCTTGAACAAATAACGAAGAAAATCTGATCCTCACAGAACCTGAAGATCCGTTTAGGTGAAATCTAGGAAGGTTTTCCTGACTCTTTAGGATTTATATATATATATATATATATAAGGCAGGATATATATATGTGTGTGTGTGTGTGTGTAACGAATGCACGGCCGCAATTTTCGACGGATTTGCACCAAAATTTACATGCACATGCCCCAAGTTAGCGGAAAGGCCAAGGCCGACTTTGCATTTCTCAACACCCATCAATAGTGGAAATAATCGATTTTTCATGCTTCTACGGCAGTTTTCATGTAGTTTCATGGGTCATTTTCTACTGGCCAGAGTGAGACCCTATAGCTGGCTGCCACGAAAAGGCAGGAAGATTCAATTGGCCAGCGTGAGAGTCAACATCTGACTGACACGAATGTTAACTAGCATGCTAGCATGCAAAAAAAAAAATCGATAGTTGCATTCGTTAAAAGTGGGAAAAATTTAAATCCACATGGCACTTTACTCCAATTGGCTCATTCGCCTCGTTTAAATTCAACGTTGATTCTGATTCCGCAGAACTGGGTTGGGTGTGAAAAATTCATTTTTGTTAACATTCTTTTTTCATTCGGTTTTTCCAGTTAAAGTCCTTTTTTTTGTGTCGTTTTGTTTAGTTCTTTTTTCGTAACAGATTTAATGTTTAGTATAGAGCTTAAAAAATTGCGGTGTGAGATAGGAAAGAAGTAATGCATGTAACAACATCAGCTCGGCAAAGGGCACTCCTTTTAAAGGCAGGGAAGGGCAAAAATATTTTAAGTCAAGTGATAGCGATTGCTGTATGAGTTTTTTGAATTTTTTGAATCAATGCCGGGCCATATATATATATATATATATATATATATATATATATATATATGTGTGTGTGTGTGTGTGTGTGTGTGTGTGTGTATATATAAAGATCTTATAACAATTTATGTCAAAACAAATCGTGAAAATTGAAGAAAATAAAACACCCTGAAGATCTTTTAGGTAAACCTAATTTAACACATGATAGAACGATGGAGAGACGATAAAAGACTAATTTTACTAAGAGCCCAACAAAACTGTTTGAATTATCTTGGGAACTTATGTCCAAAGAAGCAGAAAAAACATCTTTGTATATAAATATATATATATATATATATATATAATTATATTTAAATGAAAATGTCCATGAAGATGGTCTTAAATAGACCGAAACGTCCGACGTCGACGTTATTTTAACATTAATAATGCATATTCAGAATTTTGTTTTTTCTGTATTTTTCTTTCATATATATATATATATATATATATATATATATATATATATATATATATATATATACAGTTATTATCAAATCCGATTTCCCTTAGACAAAACACCAATACCAAGGCTAGATGAAGCGTGTGTGCGTCAAAGATTTTATGCGTCAAATAATTTTAGAATATGGTTGATTATAGCTCTCCACATCTTCTTGTGTTTTGTTGCTCTAAATAATGTTTTACCATTTATCATGTGTCATTTCTATCGCTTGAGTCTCCCTCTTCATATATCAGGAAATTGTCCTGTGGGCCTTGGAGATGACTAGCTATATAAAATTCTACTAAGTCTATTGAAACTTTGTCCGAAAATTTATTACGAGCAATATTTCCAATAGTCCTAATGCCTTAACGATGTTAGATGTGCAAAATTAGCAATGTATTGTAGAGTTATCAATGGTGAATACATATATACACAAAACACGCACACACACGCGCATATATATATATATATATATATATATATATATATGTGTGTGTGTGTGTGTATATATGTGTGTGTGTGTGTGTGTGTGTGTGTGTGTAAATAAATCAAAATAAACAAACACTGAATATGTATTAAAATCGTACACATTAAAAAGTGCACAATTTTCAGTAGGAGTGGAGGTTCGCGATCATGGCCAAATGTAGACACGTCATTAAGATAATATTTGGGCTGTACGAACCAGCATGAAGGGATTTTTTTCCATTTGATTCCATTCTGTTTTATCTTGTTTTATTATTTTTTTAATATATATTTTTTTATTTTTTCCACGACAACTCATCCAATCACTTCAGGTGTCAAATGAAGGCATTTAAGTTCTTGCGTTGACTGATTGATTCGCTGGAAACACCACCTGACGAGACCTTGGCGTAAACGTTCTTGTCTTTTTTTAATATATATATATATATATATATATATATATATATATATATATATATATATATATATATATTAGTGGTAAATATACATACATATGCAAAATATATAAATAACCATACATGTATATTTTTTTAATAAAAATTCCAAGAGGATAGAATCCAGGTAGAACTCAATGTCCAGGACAGAGTAAGGATATAATAAAAAGGCTTAAACACTAATATTCCGTGGTCGTAATTTATTCCATTGGAATCGTAAATACGATCCAATTCATCAGACCTACAAATTCAAAAAGAAAACAGAAAAAACATCTCCGGAAATAAAAACAGAATTTAGAGAGACTGTAAGTATGAGAGGTAACAGACTAGAGAATGGGGGAGATTAAACATAAGAAGACTCTGAAAATTCCTAA